GTATGGTGCGAGCATTCAGCATTCGATAATCTCCACAAGGTCGCCATCCATTATCTTTCTTTGGTGTGAGATGTAGTGGCGAAGCCCAGGAGCTTTCTGAAGGTCGTGTAATACCTAATTTCAGCATATTCTCAAATTCTGTTTTTGCTATTTTTAGTTTGTCTGGTGCGAGGCGGCGTGGTGTGCAGGATATAGGTGGTCCTGGTGTGGTCCTGATAAAATGAACAGTACTGTGCTTAACTTCAGCTTGTCTTCCAGATGGATGTGTGATTTCGGGAAAATCTTTCAGGATTTGGTCGTACCGTGAGTCACCGATTGGTATCTTGATAGAAGAAATGGCAGTTGATGAGTGAGCAGGAGAACAAACGATAGAAAGTGTCGTTGTATTGTCCAGCAAACGTTGGTTACGTATGTCTACAAGAAGGCCATAGAACTTCAAGAAATCAGCTCCTATAATTGCTTTAGTGACATCACCAACGATGAAACGCCATGGGAAATCGCGACGTAAACCAATATCCAAATCTAGATGAGTATATCCGAATGTGTTAATTGTTGTACCGTTTGCAGCAGATAATTCAAAATCTGATTTAGGACGACGCTCATGTAGTGCTCGCCGTGGGAAGACACAAACGTCGCTACCTGTATCGACAAGAAATTGCATCTTCGACCGACGATCTACAACAAACAGGCGACCAGACGTATTGGGACAGTCGTACGTCGCCATTACAGACCGCCCTCTGCATTTCCCGCATGATATTTACATGGTTTCACACAACGCTTAGCTTTTGATCCAAACTTTGCGTGGTACCAACAGTTCGGGAATTTTCTATAGTTGGACTCTGATCGCGTTTTCGAGTGGCTGCGACTTTGTTGACGAGACGGGGAACGAGACTGACGATCTAGAAGCATCTTCATCTGTCTTCGAAGCTCAGCTATCTCGTTAGCCATGGTGTCTAGCGATGATCCTGGAACTGAAGCGGCTGATACCTGCGGTGTAGCTGGGGCGATATCCTGGATGCGGTCTGCCAGATCTGAAAGTATCTCCAGTGACGCTGTGGGTTGAGCGGCTATCACCGTTTGTACGCTGTGTGGTAGTCTGCTTGTCCAGATAGTCTTGATGAAGTCTTCTGGAACGTTGGGTCCTGCGAGACTTTGTAAATGTCTCAAAAATTGAGATGGGCGGCGGTCTCCTAATTCCTCATGCATGAGAAGTTGTTTTACTTGTTTTTCACGTGAGGCGCTTAGACGTTTGATAAGCTCTGTTTTTAATTTATCATATTTTTCAGTGGAAGGTGGGGAGATAATAATATCTTTGACTTCTTTCGAAAATTGATGATCCAGTTGTCCAATAACGTAATTAAATTTTATTATATCTGATGTAATATTTGAAACTGCGAATTGTCCCTCAACTTGTGCGAACCATATTTCTGGCTCTTCCGGCCAGAAAGTAGTAACGCGTATTCCGACTCTAAATAGTTCAGATGGTTCGGTAGCTATTGTATTTTCCAAAGACATGATGTTCATATATATCAGTAAAATTGTGTTTTATATGTAATTTTGTTCTTTAAAAATATGTATTTTATATCCTTACGGTTCTGTCCAAGAGCGGGGTCACCAGTTATGGGCTTGATCTGGATTATATTTATATATATTTAAATAAAATATCAAAGCAAACGTTTATCTAATTTAATTTTATATGAGACAAGACAGTTGACATATTTTAGTTGCGCGCGCAGCTTCGCATGCGCGCTGCCTATACAATATATTTATGTACGTATACAGCCATATATATATAAACTCGTTGGAGGGCGTCGGTATTCTCAACACTGTGTTATATTTCTATGAACATCATCGTTCTTCAGTAATTATGTACACATAATTCTGTTTAAAAAAAAACAAAAAATATAAAATACTATAGTACGTTTGTCATTCCATTCAATTAAAAAGAAATATCAGCTAATCGGTTTTATGATTGAGATTATTTTCGGTCCATTCGACTGTCAATATTTCGTTGTTTATTTACGCAACAATCAAAGAATAACCAGTTATTTGTGAAGTAGATACCAGTTAGGTAATTCTGAATGCACGTTGTTTACCTTGACTAAATAAATTCATATAATATGTTAATTGAGTAATAATTAATCGCAAACGATCTGGGAATTTAACATTGGGCCGCCCGGTGTAGTGTTTATAAAACATTTGCAAATAAACGGATATTAGTCAATCTTAACTACACTAACAATCTGTTTTTCTTTTGCTTATCCCACACTCGGAATAATATTGGAAAAAGTGACTAAAAAGTATTTTGATTAACTAACAAATTAATTAATATGCACCGAAAAATAGAGTCGAGTAAACTAATTGTAGTTGTAACTAAAATTTGGCTAGTCTGGCCGAATTTTATTATCATTTTTGTGAATGTAACCAATATTTTGTTGATTATTACTAAAGTTTTGTGATTTTTAGTGTAACTCGCTAATTTAGTTGTTCATTATTTGCAATATATGTCAATTACGGTTGGTTTTGTCTTCCATTTTAATTGCTGAAATTAAAGCCATTATGTTGACTATTACAATTATCTTTTATTGACTTCTGCGTCCCTACATCTACTAGCTGAACGGTTTTACAAATTGCTATTTAAGCATAGAGTTCCAAATGACAAATTAACGTTTTCAGTATAACAACTTATTTTTTTTTTCGGACTACTCTAATTCTGTTGGCCGCAGCTGGCCTTTACAGCTTCACCGGACGTTAGGGGGCGAGTGCAGATGGCACTCCAAACCCGCGGAAGGACTTATGGAGCGGCTGAAGGCTAACTCCTGCCTGACGGATACGAGTATAACAACTTTTATTAGCACGCTTTTAACTCGGTAGCTTAATATTCATAGTTTTGTCGTGCAAACGTAACAAACAACAAAATTGTGAAGATAAGCAATACAGTGCCGATAACTGCCTAAGCATGCTAATTGCGCTGATACATTAATTCCACGTACACATTAACTTACCGTTGCAAATAAGCATACAAGTAAACAATCTGTACATGTACAGTTCTTCCTACTTATGACAATTCATAGTCGATGTCTATGGATAACTTCTGATTGTTATTATTTTTACTGACATGCAAAAAATTTTATATGCGTATGTTAATTAGTTTATTTGACATAAATAGGTGTCACGGCTTTTACAGTTACACCGCACGAAAATGTAGGCATGTACAGAGGGTATTCTAAACTCGCGGAAGGACTTATGATGCGGCTGAAGGTCAACTTCAGCGACGATTATAGTCTGAGGGCACAACTAGAGAACCCTCGTTTCAGGCCGTCGTTCGTCGTAATTGCGTTAATAATTGAAAACACTTTCATATACATTATTTACTACCTTATGATATTTTTTAAACACTTAAACAAAATGCTTTGTTTTGCTATTATAAATTTATTTTTTCTATATAAGAAATAATTATTACTTTTCGCTTAGGAATTTTATTAAAGGTAAACCATCTTGTTATTTGTCACTTTGATAATTTATGAGTAGTAAAAGACGCAAGCATTTGGAGTAGGTAATATCTCTATTACGGACTCTCCCATTAAAACAACTTCATTTTTTTTCGGACTACTCTAATGCTGTTGGCAGCAGCTGGTCTTTCAGCTTCACCAGACTATAGGGGGCGAGTACAGATGGCACTCCAAACCCGCGGAAGGATTTATGGAGCGGCTGAAGGCCAACTCCCACCTGACGGAGACGACTTTAGTCTGAGGGCATCGCTAGGGGTTTGTACCTCGGCTCAGGCCGTCGTAATTTCAATTCCAGTTTGAATTGAACGGGGGATCGATAGGAGGGGTTTAGAAATAAAATGCTGGGGTATTTTATAAAGTACTTACAAGAATAAGTACTTTATAAAATACCCTCATAGATGTTCATATTCATAATTAAACATCATAGTGATCACTTGATAGAAACGAGATAAACACGCTCCGATGCTCGTACAAATAGTCTCTAATCACTCGATTATTATTCTATTGTCCGCTCGCTGCAAAGAAATATGCAAGTCAGACCGTTGATATACTTGCGTGTTGCGTGTGCCATTGGAATGCGAGTGATCTCAATCGAATTATCGAGAATTCGTAATCAAAATCGAATAATTCAAGTTTCGATTTTCACTAAAAACTCATTTGTAAACACTACTCTGTTACAGATATATTATTGATAATTCAAAACATTGAAAACATTCGACAAAATAATCTTGTAACATTGACCTCACATTCTGTTTAGTAGAACGATTGTCTTCTGCGCTTTCTGTTGCAATTGGCGTATACCTATAGTCGCTACGCCCTGCCGTTTTTGGAAAGCACCAATCGAAATGGGTTAATACAGGACAATCGTCCGTCTTAACAGAATAATGTGTTACCGAATTAAGATTATAAGGCTCCTATAAGCCCTGCCACTTTGGGTGTTACAGGTGACCATAGGCCTCTAATTACTTAGCGCCAGATCAACCTTCATTGTTCCATCTATTACAACGTCTGCGTGGACCTCTGACTCACATATTTCAGAAGCTTGCTTTATTAACTTTTATTCTGTTCAAAGTTTGGATATTGCAGTGAAATTACAGAGTATGACATAGTCATTAGTCCTCCCAAATGGGCTCCCATATCTACATGCGCAATGGCCCACATGAGAGGCTATTTAATTATTATTTAAAAGTTTCCATGTATAATTTGTGTTGGTATTTCCTACCATTAGCTCTAAAAAAATTTAATTCTGAAAAGTGGACAAAAAAAGCCTCAAATACAAATCATAATTATTGTTATTATTATAAATGCGGTCAATAGATTCCAATTTACATTACATGGGCTCTTACAGGCAACGATGGACGGTATATGCTTCAGAACAGATTGCTATAAAAAAATTAATGTGTTATGAAACACCGCTATTATGTAGGTTACAGCCTTTGTATCTACCCTATATAGGCCTTCTTACTAAAAACAAGCGTCATGTTGCAGTATCACCAACTCGGACGACAAACGGCGGCAGCGTGCACGCGTCGCCCGCGCGTGAATTGTCGCGCGACACTCCCGATTACCAATACGGGCGATTCGACGCGAGCGCACTGCACATTGCACATGCTCTCAAGCAAACAGAACTACAGAAAGCTTACCATAGACCGAGGGAAAAGCCCATAGACTGCTACTTGGTAAGTTGAGTCATATTTGATTATTTAGCTGACACATAATCGTCCTAATTTATAATGACTAACATGTTACATTGAAAATCTACTCTGAAGTGGTAACATTACCTAGTATTAATATTTTTACTTTAATGAATTAGTGCTAGTTATCAGTTTGTATAATATTTCAACTTAAAAACGAATCTGAAGAACTTGGACGTGACAAAAATGTGCCACCACTTAGCTATGTCTCTAATTAAAGATATAACTATATATCATTTTTTTAAATCTTCAATTCGCACACCTACCACAATCAATACAAAAAAGAGATAAATCTAAAACTGTATTAGAAATAAAGGAATTGTAAATTTAGTTAAACTCTGAGGATACCGCGTAGTATCATAATTAGGAGTTAGAGGTGATGGTACTAAGAAATTAGTGGATAACTATTCTTATTATACCGATTTGAATTTGCACTATTTTAATTTCCCGTCTTGTTTCGTGATGTGTATTTCGATTAAAAAGGAGGATTAATCCAAAAGTACTTATATCTTTTGCTACATTTTCAATACCTACTCAAATTATAGCAATTTTATCAGCGAATAAGTATTCATACGTTCTTTGTTCTTTGTAATCTGCAAACAAGTTAAACCATTACGCAGAAATATCAGTAGCGTTGACAACACGTTGAATTGGGGAATACAATTAACCTTGGAACAAATAGAAGGCAAAAGGAAGAACGGAAACAAACAAAACAGAACATTGATATTGATAGAACATTTGCAATGTCTAGAAACTGGACATTAAAATATAAATACTCGACATCTTATCCCAATCGCCAATTATTAAAAGTATAAACACATATTATTGAATTATATTTGTTTCTATATTATAAGGTTAGGATGTTTGTTACTCTTTCACGCAAAGACTAATGGACGGATTGGAATAAGATATTGTACATTTAATACAGAGACAAGTCATATTCCAGATTAATGTACAGGATTTTTATCAGAATAAAAGTGAACGACGCATCTGGTATTCGATATTTGTCATTTTAACACTTTACCACCGAATACGTATATCCTTTGTTCTTTGTAATCTGCAAAGACGTTAAACCATTACGCAGAAATATCACGAGTAGACGATGACAGCACGCCGAATGGGGGAATACAAGTAACCTTGGAACAAACATAAGGCGGCCATGCGGAGGACAATACATGTCAAATGTTACACGAAAACGCAATACGAATGATAGAATTGTAACATTCGTGGCATATTAATCATCTCATGATGCATGATTAATGATACGATTACCTACTTAAAGATGAGATCTCCGAGCAATCTGGATTGTTTTTCGAATTCTATTGCTATTGGCCATTTTCTAATTCTTACTAACGCTCGCGTATATAATATTAATTGGATCTTTAAAAACTCTTAATAATAATCATAAATATCAAACAATGATCTGATTACAGTTTTATTAGATACTTTACCAATGAATGAGTTGATGGCTTCTAATATCATAATCGGAAAATCTAACATTCCTGCCTCTTGGACTAGAACTGTTCGCGTGTACTCGAGAACACCGAGTCGATACTATGCCACAAGGCAATAGGGGACAGCGATATTTGTTTACTTTCTAACCTACTTCAATAACTATAATACGGCCTCGATGGTCAAACAGTTCATTAGGTTTTGTACTATTTAGAGATAATATGTTATAATATATATATTGTTTGAATAAAAGTGGTATTTTATTTAAATTATATATAATAGAAAGAAATTGCTTAATGTACAACCTAACTATGTTATGAGTTGTTTTTGAAATGAAAATATTTATATTTTATATTATTATGGAATTAGTTTATGAAAATATTTCAAAAATCGTACGAAATATGTATAACGAAAATTTTAGGTGAAAAATTTTCGTTATTGTTATTTAAAATATTGAAAAAATTAACAAGTTTCACATAAAGTTTAATTATCATTATATTTCATTACATAGTTTACTGTAAAGGAAAGATCTGTTGTATTGTTTTTATTTTCTTTAGTACCTACATCTGTGTATAGCTGAAATTAGCAGCTACTTTATAATATTGTAAAAATATCAACAATCAATCAACGCTATGCTAATGATTTGTAACACACGCGAAAAATAACTCCGACTCGGGAACCGTCATTAAGTGAGAAATCTAGCGTGACTCGTCGATTACAGGATGATCCGCGGATACTATGGCATTCTTCTACACGCTGTATAATAGCCGTGTTAATTTTATCTACTTCCGCATAACTCTTTTCTTTTTTCACTGGCTCATTTGTGGTATTCTCCAAATGAGATTCAAGTTTATAAATGTCGGATAGAATATATGCAAATTAGATCTGGATATAAAATAAAAATGTTGATTTTCCAGATCTTGCTATTTCTGCACTATATACTTACTTACGCATTAATTTAAATTACAAATTTTGCAAATTCGACTTGGATGGAAAATCTAAATGTTGTTTTCCAGAATTTGCTATTCAACCACTGTATACTTACCTACTTAGTGCTTTATCGTAAAAATATTAAGCCTGTGCCTACGACTTCGTTCGCGTGGAGTACTGACCTTGGATATTATTTTTAATTATTTAGTCTACTTATAAAAAGTCAATGAAAAAAATTTCGCTCTAGCTTCAAAAACGACGAAATTCCATACAAACTTTCAACCCCTATTTTTTTTTTCAAGGGTTAAGATAATTTTTTTACCAACTTTGAAAGTCATATTTATTTATATTAAATCAACAGCGTAAAAATGAGTTTAAAGTTTCTGGCTTTAAAAATGACATAACTTCCATACACCTTTCATCGTCCCTTACAACCCTTTTTTCGCATTATAAAGTACACTATTTCCTTTGTAGACCCTGATAATAGACTATCTGTATACCAAATTTAATTTAAATTGGTTCTGGGTAATGGCGTGAAATCGCGACAGACAGACAGAGTTACTTACGCATTTGTAATATTAGTATGGATTATTAAGCAAGCCATTATTCATATTCATATTTGAGTGGTCCTTAAATATAAATACACTCGTATAAGTAGGTACATTTCTTCTGAATGATATTTATAACATCTGCTACCACTTATTAAATAAATTATTGACTTCTTAACATCCTTACGGTACCGGTTTTATAAAATACCTATTAGCATAGATGAAATAACTTTACTTAATTATATTAGCAAACTGATTATATATTACATTATTTAAATGTATCTATAATAAGGTAATCTGCCCGTTTTATGGTGGTCTGACCAATCATATCGGTTACGGCGTGTTTAGAATTTTTATATTAAATTTCTTGGTATTAAAAACTATCGTGAAAATCAATAAGGTTTTACCGAGTCACTTTGATTTATTAATGGGATAAACCCATGGATGTTAGATGTGATGTGTATGTTGAGTGAATAAAAATCATACCCCGTTTAATTTATTTATTATGTATTGATTTAAATTCTTATATGAAATAACTGTATTAAGATTAAATATTATTATGTTTTTGATTCTCTTCTTAAATAACGCTGTAAGATTTATAAATATATTTTGTTAAGAATATTATTATTACCTTCGAGACTCCATTAGATCGAACCATCATCTCTCTGCGTTAAATTTACTACGCCAAATATTTTTTCACTCATATTTCCATGAATTTTAAATTACCAAAGCCTAAAACGAGAGTCGTATCGGTCAGGTAATAATTGACCTTTTACCGTTCCATATGTCCTATTTTCTCATTCGAATATCCTATTTTCTGTTGGTCAAACTGTAAAGAACAGCTAAGCCCAATTATTTAAAAAATGATCTATTTTTTTGTTCTGACAATAAAATATAATAGGTTTTCACCAGACTGCAAAAGATTAAATTTCATTTCTTTGATTGGACAAAATAATTTTAGTATGTTGTACGATATCTTTCTCATATCTGAACTAATTCTTTATATCTAGGCATGATTCTTTTAACGATCAGTATCTCATATTCAAATCAATCATTAATTCATAGTATTTATTTTATCATGTATTCGTAGGATATTTTAGCCGCTTATGAACGTCAAATTATTTTGTGTTAAAAATTTTTAATTCAAAATTAGTAATATCTTTTAAATAAATATACAAGCGGTGAATGTGTAAGAAGTCACGCATTCGTCAATAATCAACCGTTTAGTATTATGTACCTATTACGTAATATTCCCTACCGATTAGTCATTTCACATTTATACGAGAAATATAAATGCCCACCCTACAGCGCCTTAAATAGTCCGCTATGTAGGTGTCGTAATGGACAGACTCGAGTCGGACCAAAACTAACAGAACGACTTTTACCTACCGCAAGAAAATATACACGTAAGCCCCAAAAAAGGGCATCGAAGCAGACACGATGGCAATTTCTATGAGATCTATTTCCATAACTTCGTAGCAACTGAACTTATATGGATAATTTCTAAAATTCTAGTATACCTTTTTATATACTGTGATAGTGACAATCAACTATTCGGCCCATCTCATAGTAAATGGTTACTGTACCTATGGACGCCTGAAACAGCAGGCATGCGCTTTACCTACCCTTAAGAAAGATTAATATACTAGAAACTCCCCTAATGTGGTCTCTAGAGAAAACCTCGGCAAGTCGTGTACTACACAATTTAGTGTTCACGGATTCTCTTAGATTTTTATTCATTTTGGTAAATTATTATAACTGTACTGTATAAATATTTGTAATTATTTATTTCTGTAACTGTCGTTATATAGAAATAAGGCTAAAATAAGAAATCAATTTAAATAATACTGAAATAACATACAAATAAAGAGATAACCATTCTAATATCTGAAGAAAAGGGACTATGAATTCGTCATTCAACAAATGATGAATTTATTTTAATAGACAAATCCATCCACAGTCAAATAGGATAGAGTTAGACTTATCATAATTGTGAATCAAATGAAGGTTAACAGAGCAAAATTAATATGAGATATATACCTCAATGTATTTTGC